GCATTATATGTCTGGATGTGAGTCTTGTCCCTGAGCTGGCTCTGAATTTCAGTATCAAAAGCCAGTTTAATTTATAGACTTGCAAAATATTCATAAAAACCATATCTTTCCTAAAACACTTTAAGGAATGGGTACTTCTAGTATTAAAGCCATCTTATACATACATTTTTCTCAAACCGCAGAATTTTTTCCTATAACACATCCTTCATAAGTGCCTTGGGGATATAAATAAGTGGCATTGATGTTCCAGTCGGCACAGGATCGTGTTTTGGTAGATGGGATCCTGTACTTAGCAGTCTTCCTTCCAGTTGTGTCATTGAAATTATTTCTCTGCTCTTTCCGGCAGAATCTGACTTGGCATAGCTGGAGGCCACTTTATCAGGGAGGTGTAGCTGAAGGAATGGACAAAGGATGCTCTATGGGAACTGAATCTGAGAAGGGCATTTATGATTTAAAGCCCACCTTCTCCTCAATTTGCCTCTTGAGGCATCTGCTGTATTTGAATGATTTTCATTTTCTCTTCTAGCCTTGCCTTTCCTCCTTTTCTCCTGCTCTTGTGGCTCCCTGTATCCCCAGATCTAAGGGAGAGTGGTACGTACATGCTTAATTGCAGTGGGATGCCACCCTTGCACATCAGGGTGGAAATGTGTGCATGTTGGAGCTACAAATATAGGAATGAAGAGAGAAAGGAGAGATCACCACTGTCCTGCCATGGTCTCTTCATCTTCCTCCCCATGTGGTGAAACCCCTTCAGCTCTTCCTCGTTCCTCTCCATAACTTTTCTGCCAATGCGGCAAAACTTCATTTTCTCTTCATGGCTGAGAAGCTTTGAGCAGGCATTGCTGCAGAGTGCAGCAGTGTATCTTGACTAAACACGTTATAGCTCACAAAACATCATATGTTTTTGCTCACTGTTGTAGATACCCCAAATAAAGTCCCTAGATGCTTGGACTCTGCTGACAGAGCCATGATACAGTCCCCTTGAAACAACTGAGTTGGTCATGATAGGGTCTGGAGACTGGTGGGAGCAGTATTTTTATTTTTAAGAATGCCTTTTCCCTGATTCCAACAATATTTGGAATCAATTTACCAGTTTTGGTGTGGCTGGTAGTGCTTGAAAGTCAAGTGAGAACAGTTGCTGTTTTGCGGCTGTTTGTGGTGTGATCTCATGAGCCTCATTTCAGCTCCTAGGGGGCAGCCATCCACATCATACAGATGGCTGTTGCAGTTGGCATTGAGTGAAGTTTCCATGGATCACTCTTTGTATTTAGCCACCTCAAATGCAAAACAACACGAAAAACCATTCCTATTTGCGGACAGAGTCCATGCTTTCAGTGTTTCTCCAAGAAAAGCAGATGGTACTCCAGGCTTTCCCAATGTCAATCCATGAGTATCTGTAAAACTGAGCTCCCACACAGGTAGGCAGAGATGACCTGAGTACCCATCCAGAGGATCTCAGCACTGCCTATTTCAGCACAGTCTGTCCATCCAGGGCCAACACGGAGGGTCTCTCCTTCAGTCGGCTTAGTATCCAGACAGTGATGTCTTCAGCACGTTTCCCTCACAGGGAAAAGAGGGCTAACCAGGCTGCGTTAACTCACACTGCTGTTTTCCTGCCAGCTTGTACGCAGAACAATCCCACACTCATAGGGTGGAAACGCAGACACCCTCCTGAACCTGTCATCCAAGCCTTTCTATCATGTCTCTTGACTGTGCCATACAGCCCATGTTCGTCAAAGCGTGATGCTCTATGCCCTGTTCCCTTTAAACAGGGTATGAGTGTTTTGCATTGGAGGAGGGTGATGTGGTACCTGTAGGGCTGGGCTTGTGCTGCCCCATCCATTCCTGAACTGCATAGTGACAAAATTTGGTCAGCCAGGCTAGTCCTGCACCTACCAGGAGTATTGATGAATGGCTTTAAAAGGCAGCAGTAGAGATTTGTGGTGTCCATGCTCTAACTATTTACCTGAATTTGTCCTCAAGTTTTTGGAGGGTAGGAAAGTTAGAAAGTAGACCTGCTGTTCATTATCTGCTTCCAGCAGGGGGAGATGGGTCCAGAGAGTTATTTCTTCTGGGAACACGTACAAAAATAACATTATTTATTTTACTCATGAGGCGCTCTCCTAGGATTTGTGTGATTCCTGCTTGTTTGGCCTTTTACACCTAGGCAACCCCTTCATTTTGCTTCTGTATGCTTCTAAAAGCAAATAAGACCTATCAGCTTTAGATTTTGTTTTATTTTTCCCAAGGTTTATGAGACCCTCAGGGAATTTCTTCCTCATCTCTCTGTTTATTATGATTATTACTATTATTAAATAGTTATGCTGTGGTGGTTCTAATGAGGATTGTATAGATGCGGAAGAAGATGAAGACATCCCCTGCACTGCCATATGAGCTGAGAGGGGGCTCAGAGTCCATAGTGATCCACCCCTCTTTGTAGGGAGGCATGGGCACATGCAGTCCCATCTCAAATCAGGATGTTACTAGAGTCTGGAGATAAGATTCCTCCCTTCTCCCTCCCTGAAACCCCCTATGTCATTGTCTGTATAAAACATATTGGTGCCACTTTCTATGAACTATATTTAACTAAGCATTAAATTTAGATTTAACTGGATAGTTATTGCCTCCTAAGTAAATACTCTGAGATAAGGAAATATTTAGTGAGCTCTAGCAGTTGGGTGGCAGATGCTTCTTGCATTGCATAATAGTTAATCTTCGACAAATATGTTTTCCTTATTCCACTGGCATTTAATTATCATACAATAGCTCTTATTAAATGTAGATGAAATATATGTGGGAGACCCTTGGATCCACGCAACACTGTTTTGCAAGAGGGGTGCATTTCTTTCATTGGTTACTTCATATGAGACCAAGTCTTTTAACTGTACTCAAATTCTGGTACAGGAGTGCATGGATTTCCTGTTGGTGATGCCCATCTTGTGGCATGCCAGCAGCTTGATGGCATCTTTGTCCCTTGCACTGTCCATTGCCCTAGTGTGGTGGTTACTAATCAGAAATCAGATGTCAGCAGCATGGTCTTCTTCAGAGCAGTATCCTTGTCAGGTGACATCTCTCTCTGCAGTAGCTTGGGAATATCTGGCGTGTGGATTAACCCCTTTAGCTCCTCATTCTTTTCCCTCTGGTGCTATCCCCGTCAAGTTTCCTGCAGAGCAAGTGTGTGACTCGCCTCACTTTTTGGCTTGAATACAAAGCAGTCATCTCTTTTTGCCACTGCGTGCATGGCACTGGAGCAGCAGTGTCATGACCTTAGTCCTTAATTTCTGTGCCTTTAACACTTGCAGGGATTGTTTAAATTCTCATAGACTGTGTGGCCTTTCCATACCAAGGCTGCAGGGGTCAGTTTCTAGGCGTTCAGAAAGCAACTGGACACATTCCTGGATAAAGAAAATCATTCAAGTACCATTAACTACAAAGATAGTGCCATTGGCTGGGGACATGCCTTAACCACAAATCACTGGAAATAGATAAGTGCCCTGGGGCAGTGCTTCCCTTTGTGCTTGTGTGCTTCCCTAGGCATTGGCTTTAGGCTACACTTGGAGACACAACTAAGGGTTAGAAGGACCTTTGATCTGATCCCATGTGGCCATTCCTATAACGCAACGACATTCCTTATGTTTCTTCAGTTTGTGTCCACTGTATCCCACGAGGCTTCAGGAGCAGAGGTGAAGCAGGCACCGTACAAGTGTTTTTTCCCCTCCTGCACACACACGTAGCAGCGCTGTGATCCTGCAGGGCAGCAATTCTCAGCCCATCTCCCATGGCTGTTCTTGCACCTGCTTCTCTGGACCCCTCTCAAACCACGCCTTCCCTCTTTGCTTCCCCGTCCCAGCCCCGCCGAGCCGTGGCTGCAGAAGGGTTACAGTAGCGAAGCATCCCTAGGAACAGTTCTCATTCCTCCCGCAGGGCAGATATCGGGCTGGGGGAATGGCAGGCAGGAATCAGCAGTAACACACACAGCTTATTCCTCTCCATTAATTTAATCTCCCTTCTCTTTGCGGTGGCGGTGGTATGTGGGCTGCGGGAGCGTTCCCGGGTGGGCAGCGCTGCTGCCGGCGGGCGCGGGGCTCAGCTGCGGGCGCCGGCAGCCGGGAGGACAGGCCGAGCATTCACTCCGCGGGCAGCTCAATGCCGGCATTGTCTCCGCTCTGTCCCTCTGGCTGGGAAAGAGGTGGGGGGGCGGGAAGGGCTGAGTGGAGAGAGGTGGGAGGGAGGGATGGATGTACAACTGTTTATCTGGCGAGGGGAAAGTCTGAGAGGGGAAGAAGCGAGGTTTGAGGGCGCAGAGGCAGTTGCCAAGGATGCTGCTCTGTAAATCAGTTAGCGTGTGGCTTCAGGCTGCTAAGCCAAGTTGTTTGCACTTTTGGCCACAGATCCGCTTTCCTCACTATTTTATCTTGAGAATATTGGCCGTACCTTCCTCTATTCCCTATGCCCTGCTCCCTCTGCCTCCCTCCCGCTCAGCATCTCCTGGCTGCTCCTGTCTTCTCTCTGCTTCTGCTTCCCGCTCGCGCTCCCTTTCTCCTCCTTTCTCCAGCCCCCTCTTCCTCTCCCATCCCCTTCCCTCTCTGCTTCTCCCTCCTCCCTTTTCCTTCGTGGCTTTCCCCTCTGCCCTCCAGCCCTCATCCCTTCACAAGCCCCCTCTCCCTGCTGCAGTGCCCCGCTCCCCTCCCCTTCCCAGCCGCCGTCCGGCTCCCGNGTGGGGAAAGAAGCCAGCAAGAGACTGAAAAGAGCAAGAGAAAGTGGCAGCTAAGAAGGACTGTGAAATCACCTCCCCTTTCTGGGGCTGTCGATCAGAGCGAGAGTTGTACATTATTATTATTGTTTTTCTTTCTACGTCTATCTGTCCACATACCCAGGCAGAGAAAGAGACAAGTACAGACAGTGAAACTCGACAAGACCAGCCATGGTAGCAAGGGCTCAGCCTGATCGGAAACAATTACCGCTGGTCCTACTGAGATTGCTTTGCCTTCTCCCTACAGGGCTGCCAGTCCGCAGCGTGGATTTTACCCGAGGTACCGATAACATCACCGTGAGGCAAGGGGACACAGCCATCCTCAGGTAGGGCATCTTGCCAACTTTTCTGCTTCCGTGTATCTGTATTTCTATGTATGCAACGTATACATGTGACGTGATACATATTTGTGTGTATATGTCTCTGTGAGAGTGTGTGTTATTTTACCTCTGGAACTGCAGCAGCAGCAGCTGCTACAAACAAGCGCTGCATGTGTGTGCTTTAATATGAAAAAATCGTAAAGCTTTTGAATACTTCTTGCCACCACTCTCCTCTGTGCAGTGCTCTGGATCAAAAGAATTTCAGTGGGGAAGATCCGCTTGTGTTAGCCAGCTCTTATGAACGTACACTTTCCACCAGCCCTGTAGTATCAATAGAGAAATCGAAAAGGGATCCAGCTGTGCTTGCCAGATGTTCCATTGATCTTCCCGTGCTTCTTTTTGTACCTATGCAAAAACTTTATCCCTGGTGCTGCCAGAACTCTTGGGCAAGTTCTTTTGGAAAACTCTGGGTTTTTAAAATTTTATTTATTTATATTTATGCCCTGTGGGGAGGGAAGATGGATACAATAGTTGAAAAGGCTGGTGAAAACATGGTGTAGGAGCTCCAACATTTATGAAGGTTGTATCTTTTTCAGTGTGCTGATGTTTTTGCGGGGCTAAAATAAATGGGAGTGTGTTATGCCTATGTGTCTGGTTGTAATGAGGGTGTCTTTGCACATGTAACCTTGCTCACTGGCAGCATTGAGTGTGATATTTCTGGTTTTGTTGTGCAGGCTTTCTAAAGGTAGTTCTGACACTACTTGGGCTTTCAGTTAGGAGTGTCCCAAATAAATAAACTGCAGTAGTCTTTTTCCTGTGGGTTTTGTTTTCACATTTTGTCTTGCTCAACTTACCTGCAGTAACTTCCTTAGGGAAGGAAAATTCTGTGTGTGTGTGTGTGTGCACACACTGGATCATGGCTATAAAACTACTGGGTGTAATTTAAAATAAATCTGTGATCTGTATGAAGAGCTGATAGTGCACAAACCCTGAAGCATCAAGGGAGCAATCCCCTAGCAAAGCTAACAGCAGTAGCAAAGTTTTCTTTCTCTTTTTCTGAAATAAATCCTGCTGGATGTCACCAAATGGTCTGCTACACGATCCCCTGTGTCCTGCATCCCTCCCATTTAATGATAGAGGGAAGAAGGATGCTGGAGGAGGGATGTGTGAGTGCGCTTACGCGTATCGCTTCTCTCAGCTCCCGTGTGCTCTGTTGTTTTGATCCTGGAATATCCATTCAGCAGCTTCCATTCCCCAGCTCTCCAGACTTGTTAACTCAAATGTAAGATTTATCCACATGGAGTAATAGGATTTACAGAGTAATTCATCTGCCTTGCATATGCAATGGAAGTGGTTTAGATTAGACATGGTAAACACCTAACAAGGGGTGTTGCCTCTGACTCTGGCTTCTCTCCTTTCCCTTCCACTCACTAGCAATTCATATATCCCATTAACCCTTTTCTAGCAGGACTCCCAGCTGACTTATCCCATTTTTAAAGGCAAATCGCTTCCATCAATCATTTATTTTGGAGGGGCTGCTCAGACAGATGTTTGCCAGCATACATTTGGTACATACAGCAGCAGACAAGTCATTAAGCTCACTTGCCCAGACAGGGGTCACTGGATTTCTATTTCCCACTTAACCCTGGAGCTTTTGAGTTTATCTAGACGCTGCATTTGCAGCAGAGAGGGCTAAGCGGATGGTGGAGATGGTGCTGTGTGTAAAGCGTTCGCTCATCAACAAGCTCAACGGGGCTGCATGGGAGACTGGTTTCAGTGATTGTGTGTGGCTTGCCAGTGTTATGTCAGGCACTAAAATAAAACACCTGAGTGAAATGATCCAGCTGTGTCGGCCAGATGTGTGCCAAGTGACACAGTCTGCAGGAGCAGCACACCACCCAGCCATGTAATGGCTTGCCCCAAGCAATACTGTGTTCCTGGCAGACTGCGTTTCTGTCAGAAGTGACTGTGGCCAGTGCACGAGCTTTACCTCTCTCGGCTGCCTTCCTAAGCTCTTTAAGCAGATCTGGCCAACTATATGCTTTTCACATTTCCTAGGAAGGGCAGTTCTCAGCTCTCCTTTTCCCTGGGCCCATCCTTCTGTTTCTGGGATGTTTCAGTCCCTCCTTCAGAGGTGAGACAGAAGCCAGGCTGTACTGGTTTGCCAGGATTGCCTCATGAAGCCAGAAGGTGTGAGATTTCCCTGTGTCCCATAGATCTGAGGTCCTGCACGATAACATTTCATTCCCTCCATTTTAAAGCAAGTGTTAGTTTGCTAGCTTCCCCCTCACTGTCTTCCTTGACCCCCCAAAACATAACTCAGTTTAAGACAGCCTTGTGTTTGAAAAACTACTTAGTGTCGTGCTCTCCCTGTCTATAGATCCACTAGTAACAATGGAAGGGAAAGAGCTAGATGGGAAAAAACCAATAGATAATCTATACTAACTGTGTTCAAAGAAGATCTTTACCTCCACACAGTGACAGGTAAAAGATTTCTGTACATGGATCATATAACCCATCTTTGCTAAACATCTGCTTCAGAGGGAATAGGGAGTGTGCAACATCAGTTTACCAGTGCCCAGTAGCTCCATCCTGTAGCTTGAAAGCTTGAAGGGAAATGAAAATGTAGGAGGAAGAAAAAATGATATGCAGTTGGAGAGAAATAAAAGCAGTGTACATAGCGATAAGATATCTAAAAACATTTTGTTCCTGTAAATTGTGATGCAAATCATTCAGCAAAGCACCCAGGACAGGATATTCTGAATGAGTTTTTGCTTTTGGGCCTTATGCATTTGTATATAAGGTTACACTTGTAGGTGGAAGAATGGGTGGGTGGACGGATCTATGAAGTGGAGAAAAATGGTTTATTATAAGCCCTAATGTTCCTAAAGGAAGCCACTCCTCTGAAGCTTCATCTGCAGCTTGTTACTCAAATAGAATTGTTCTGAGAAGTTTGGAGATGACTTTTTAAAACTATAGCATTTAAAATGTTCTCTCTCTATAGGACTTTTAAAAAATGTCCCTAACTCTATACTGGCTCATCTCCTAAGTGACCTGGCAGCAGATTTGATTCATTTGTTGGCTTTGCTGAAGGTTGATGACTTTTAGCAAGTATTTGTCACGGGGAAGTTAGGGAATTGCAGGGAGAATAAAAATAGCTCATGATGGACTATCCACAGGGAAAAGGGTAATGATCTGCTCCTTAGAGCAAGGCAGAAAAGAGAGGAGGGGTCTGAGAGCTGCAACAGGTAATAATGGCTGAGCAGAGTTGCTAGCATTTGTCCAGCTGCAACCAAGAAAAGAAAGCAGGATGTTTCAAAGATGACACTGTATATTAGTGACACTGCCAGACTTTCTAAGGTTTCGTTTTTTAACTCTGTCTTCAGCAAGCGAAGAAAGACACTGAAGCTTATTTTGAGTATTGAGAAAGAATTATGGGCTGCAGTTCCTGCTGATGTTTTGCTGACAAAATTACAGTCATGAAGTTGTTGGGTTTTGCCTGCAACTTCCCAGCTTGATGTTAGGGAAAAAAAAAAAAAAAAAAGGGAAAAGAAAAGAATCTCCAAACCAAAAATGATCTAAATATTCCCCAAATTAATTAAAATAGGCAAGGGAAAACAGTCCCCAGCCCCAAATCTTCTCGAGCATCCCTTCCCAGCTCATTTGCTGTGCTCATGTTGGGTGAGCAGGGACCCTGCACTCAGTTGCACACAGCCTGGTGAGGGGATGAGAAATAAGAGGATTTTGGCGAAGTTGGGACATGTACAGTAACGAAGGGCAGCTGCTGCAAACTGGGGAAGGGAGGGAACTGTGCTTCTCTGTTGTGTTTGGCCCTTAAGATGGGTTAGAAGCAAAATGGCAGTGCTTATCCATGCTGTGGGATCGCATACCTCTACTGAATGTTAGGGGGAAACGATCAGCTCCCTCAGGAACCACCACAGCAGCTTGCCCCAAAGTGTCTTTAAAGCACTATTCTGAGGGTGTCAGTGGAATTTGCGGGTTGCCCAGGGCTTTTAGTAGTCCTGGCACAAGTGCATACTTGGCCTTTAAGGCTCCTGAAATGGAGCTTGTCATTAGCTGGAACTAAAATGGGTCACACCCCCATTCCGGTCTGCTCAGTTATACCAGTACGGATCCACTAAAGCCCAAGGGCACTGCCAGAAATACCACATTTGTCTTTGGGGCAGATTCCCGAGGACTGCTAATAAAGAGGTACAAGTGACTCATACAGGGCTTAAGCTGCTGAGCGCTGCTCAGATGATGTTCAGCCTGTTGGAGAACTGGGATCTCGCCAAGGCCAGCATTTGGCTCATTGCTCCAGAGTTTTTCCAAGCATCAACTTTTCATCGAGAATTAAATCAAGCTGACGCTGATGTAGAGATGAAAACTAGCATTTAACTGAGTGTACGTTTTTAATTTTTAGCAGGTATTTTTAAATAATGTGAAGTTTCAGGCTGATAGTATGTTTAGGTACTTCCATCGTAATGGGTACTTAGTTCCTTCAAGTTATATGTGTCAAAGGATGGGCTAGAATCAAATTACCAGCAGTAATGATAGTGCTGTTGGTATAATCCTGCAGTATAAGCAATTTATGCAAACTCCATTCCTGGCCTCCCAGTATTTTGCTGATATGTTACACATAGAGCTATGCTAGAGGACAAAGGCACCTCAGGCAAAATAGCAACACAGCATCACAACAAAGTTTGTGCCCTATACGGTCATTTTAACAGAAAAGTAAAAGCTGTTCAGATTACACTTATAATTAGCATACGATTTATAACAGAGAGCACTGAGCCGAGCCCTTTGCTCGAAATGAGAATAGGCATGTTCAAAGGTATAATGCTACATAATAATACGGTCTTGGCAGTAAAATTGTAACCTTAATTATTAGTGGTATTGTTGTGGCACTTAAAGGCCACGACTAAGTTGAGGGACCCTTTGTATTAAGGGCCATGCGAGCACAGACTGAAAGAGGCACCCTCTTCTGCAGAGCAGGCAGGCTATTA